GGCTTTATAGAATGATTACTTACATAAGTAAATAGAAAGGAGCTAGACATTCTAAATATCAAGTTATATAAACGTGTGAAAGGTCAGAGGCAAGAAGAGCATGCTGTGCTCTAGCCAGTTTGGCTCAGTGGTTAGAGCATCGGCCCGAGGACTGAAGGGTCCTGGGTTCGATTCCAGCCAAGGGCACGTACCTTGGTTGCAGCCTCAATCCCTGGCCCTAGTCAGCACATGAGCAGCAGGCAACCAATCAATGTGTCTCTCTCACGTGGATGTTTCTCTCTCTCTCTCTCCCTCTCTCTCTCCCCCCTTCTCCGCCCCCCTCACTCTCCTCCTTCCACTCTCTCTGAAAAGTAATGGAAAAGATATTCTCAGTTGAGGATTTAAAAAAAAAAAAAAGGCTAGCATGCCATGATCAGGGAAAGGGAAATGACCAAAGCATGCGGCTTCAGCAGGTGAGTGGATGAAACAGCTGTGGTGCATTTACACGATGGAATACTACTGGGCTGTAAAGAAAATAAGTAAATAAAAAGTAAATCCTACCGTTTGCGACGGCATGGATGGACCTGGAGAGCATTATGCTGAGTGCAATAAGCCAGTCAGGGAAAGGCAAGTACCATATGATTCCACTCACGTGGAATCTAATGAACAAACTGAACTAACAAGCAAAATAGAGACAGACAGAGAGAGAGCAGGCTGACAGCTCTCAGGGAGGAGTGGGCATTCCGGGTGGAGTGGACGAACAGGGCAAAAAAGGAAAAAAGAGAAAAGTCTCATGGGCAAGGACAACCGTGTGGTGATTGCCAGGGGTTGGCGGGGAGAAGGGGAAGGGTAAAGGGGGGATAAGTAGTGATGGACGGAGGCTTGACTTGAGGTGGTGAACCGACAATACAGGGTAGAGATGATGTGCTGTAGAATTTTACACCTGAAACCTGCATAATTTTGTCAACCAGTGTTACTCCAATAAATTCAATAAAAAATAAAATACAAAGAAAAAAAAGAACTAGAGTCCAGATTACCAAACTTTATTTTATTCCATACAATCAAAGCCCCAAGGAAATCTTTTGATTTATAACTTCTCAAATTAATACATAAACCTGGGCTCTATATAACGGCCGAAGCGTGCCCTTACCATTCCTGTGTAACATCAACCAAGGGGATAAAAACCAAACAGTCCATGCAGATAAACCCTAAGATTACATCTCCAGAGACGAAAAACTGAAAAAGTCTCTAGCTTCTCCAGTTAATCCTGCTTGGTCATCATTTCCTTCATGCTGACTCATCCTGGAACACCTACCACCTCATCTATCATGGCTTCTGCTCACCTTTTCCAACCAAGGCTGTTTTCATCATTAGTCTCTTTGACAGTAGAAAAATGGAGAGATGCTTGTGCCCCAACCTAAAACATAACCTAAAGGATAGCAGAAGTGTAAACACTCACACTTTTAAAAAGATAAGGAAAGGAAAGAAACAGCTATGCTCACACCTAGGAGGGAAAGCACAAAAAAGGCCCAAGAAGAGTTAAAACAGTAGAACAAAATACTCTAAGAATCTACCTGGCCCAGGGAAAGAAATCTCTCAACATTATGTTTAAAATGTCATAGAAAAGAACAGAAAATAAAATCTAATGAATGAGTCCAAGATAATAATTATAGTCAATTCATTGGATATCCATCACTCATAGTTGAGGTAACAATGATGTTTTGTTTTTGTTTAAAGAAGTGGATGGAAAATGAAACATGTTAGCAGAAAACCTAAGTAATACATAAGGCAAGGGACAATCTGTCAGCCTTTGGCATCCAGGAAGTCAAAGGGTTAACGCCCTTATGGATTTTTAAAATGTAGTAACACATCAATCTTAATTGCCTGTATTCTGAGGCCCAAACTTTTGCATGCTTTCCTGTTCATAGCAACAACATAACCAAGTATTTGTCGAGCATTTGCCATGGGTCAGATACTGTTGTGAGCACGGCGAGACTACAGCAGCGAAGGTGACAGATGAGGCCCTGTCCTTATGGAGCTTATGTTCTGTCACAACGAGGAATGATAAATACGGTTGGGCCAGAAAACAAACCATGACTAATTCTCTTGGACAAAGAATCCTGCTTTATAAGGCAGAAGCTTTCTTGCTGTGTTGCAATTTTACAGGTGCCTGAATCTCTTCCAGTCAGGGAAACACACTAGTGTGTGTTTAGAGGATTGGGGGCCTTTAAAGGGGAAGGAGGGGAGATAAAAAGGCAAATCTCACCAAGTCGCAGAAGAGCAAATGTTCTGACTCTGAACCCTGCCCATCCAGGAGACACAGCAATGCATCTGTGGCTTTGGTACAGAAGAACTGGGTTAATATTACAAATTTCTAGAAAGTTCTGCTACATTCCGAAGTAAAATGGGAAGTAAACAAAATGTGTCTTTGCTGTTCTCTGCCATCTCCCTCATTTGCTAATTCTTCTTGTGCCTGCTCTTTTATCTTTTTTTTCTATTGAGATTTTTCTTTTTAATTTTCAAAAATCAATGTTTTAACTTACTAGCTGCATATAGCACAAACCAAGTACAGGATACCTTCCCTCACCTTATCCCTGTTAGTCTCTTCCCTCTCTCTCCATCACTCAGGGCTCTGCGATTTTCCACCATCCTTCTGTTTCTGACCACCTCCCTCCAGTTCCCCTTCTCTCTTTTCCAGGAAGAAAAAGAAATGATCAGTGGGTACAGGAAAAGACGGCGTCTAGTAAGATAAAAGACTGACAGTATGTTACATGTGCAGGTAAGTCCATTTTATAAGGATTTGTACCTTTGAGTTTAAAATTTGCTTTGTGTGAATAAATTTCACCAGAACCAGAGTTGCTAGACATAACACTTAGAAAATTGTGGAGATGAAGTTTTATACATTTTCTTAGCTGGCTGAATATATTCTTTCAAAAATCCTTTTGTGGTTTCGTATATATTGAATGATTTGCATGAGAGAAAAAGAGAGAGAACTGGCCCTGTCTTTTGCCTCTCACCAGGTGGCATTTTCAAATGTTTCTTTAAGCCCTGGGTCTGGCCTTTCCTAAAATTGCTTTCATTCTGCATGCCTAGAACTCACTTTACTATCCCCCAGCCTGGCTCCCTGCAGGGATATTGGGAATGAGACTTTGGAAAAGGCCAGGTTTAGAGTCAGATTGATTTACCCTGGAAACCCAGCTTCATGTCTTATTAGCCCAGTGACCTTAGGCAAATTACTTAACTCTTTTAAGTGTTCTCATCTGTAAAGTGGTGTTCATAAAACCAACCCCTTCATATTGTGATAAGCATTTAATTATCGAATCCATACATGTATTAATCACACTATGTAGCAGATAGTTGTCATTTAATAAATAGTATATATGACTTATATATACATAAGTATACAAAAGTATGCCCATATTTTCCTCACATACACATGCAGTTTACCTATCTGTCCTCAATGCCATTCTCCCAGAGTTCTGCCCTTGAAGTATTCCTATTTTTCCAAAGTCACAATTAGCTAATGTAAGAATCTAATCACTGAGAATGTGTTAATGAGAAAGGATAAGAGAACAATGACTACTGCCTGCCAACTCAAATACTCCTTGGTGGTAAAATATGGCCCTTGAAACAAAACCGTACCAAAAGTTGCACAGGCAAGGGCAGTGACTCGCGGGGTGAATTTTAAGCAACCATCATCTGTAAGCTTACCATAGTAGCTCTCTGTAACTGTAACTGCTTTTGTTACATGTGCTAATACCTATGCCCTTACTAATTTAAAAATAGGTTTAAAAAAAGCTTAAATAGATACTGTGTTCTTTTTCATATATATGAAAGTACCTGCAGAGACATTGCATTTGCCCTAGAATATTCTACAAAACAAATACAGCTCCTAGGGAAATAGAGCCTTGGGAAGGTTAAATGCCCATGTAATGTCTGTGATAAAACAAAACCTAAAACACAATTCTCTTTTCAAGTCAATATTTCCAGGCCATACTATGCTTACTTGATGAGGTGTAGCTACTCACAGGAAGTCCTGCTTTGAAAACCCCCATCCCAAAGATACAAAATCTGTGAAATTGGCAATGGCAAGAGAGTCACACCTTTTGCCACACTAACAGGAAAGACTCTTAAGTAATGGACTTGGTGCCTGGCCATCCGAGTCAGCCACTTAGTCATTTTTCTAGACGCAATCCATCATTGATCACATTCCCAAATTTCATGCAACCTAATTTAAACATCTAACTGGCTGTTCTGATGGGAATAAACATTCCATCAAAGTAAAAGCTTGACAACCCTGACACCTAGTGGCTGTGAAGAAACAGGAGAAGGTCCAGCTTGGGGAAAGTAGTCAGCTAGCTACTATGGCAGTATCTCATCAACACACAGAATTTAGTGATTATTAACATTATAAAATACTAATTCTAAAAGCAACTCCTATCTATTTTGGTTCAGAATTTATCTTGTGATCTATGCAAGGAGGCAAAAAGAGTTGCATTTGTAAAGTATATTTTCCTTCAACTGTACACATTTAGAAAATTTTTACTAATCTTCAGAGATCAAATAAGAAAAGCAAAGGTTGATTCATATTTTGGCATATTTATGACTCTTTTCCTTAATTTCGTATGTACAACCACATCCTTTACCTGGTCTTCAGGGGATTTTTTTCAAGTATCCCCCTGACAATATAAAAGTCATCTAGTCAAGCATCCACAGAGGTTCCCTTTATGCCACTGAAGCATCCTTAGTCAAAGGGTAATTGTACCTTTTCAAACCAGCAGTTTTCTTTAAGATAGGTAAGAGGACACATGTGGAAGCCCCTATAGTGCACATCTAAAAGTAAGACCCACAGGAAACTCCAGGAAGTCATATGAACAGATCCGTCAACACAGCACAGCACAAGCTATTTCTACCCTAAACATTAGAAGATGAGTGTCTCCAGGCTCACCTATACCTGACAGGCAGGACAGCAAAGAGCCTAACATGTTCATCTCCTCCACCAAGAAGAGTTCTTATCCTACCTGCTGACGTTTGAAGGCTAAATAATCCAAATTTTCCAGCTCCTTCCCAAGCTTCTGGTAGGTTTTCTGGAGGTCAGATTTGTTGGAAACATTTTTAAGAGATTCAAATGTCTTTTGAAACTGAAATTAAAAACAAAAGTAAATAATTAGAATAGCAGCAGATTTTTCTTCAAATTTCTAACTTGCTAACACAGAGAGATAGTTGATACTGAGTCTCAGTTTCTCCAGTTCACAAAACAGAAATAACAAATGTGAGTTAATTGCTTAATAAAATAATCAGGGATGATTATGAAGAATTAGAAACTATACAACCAACGTTATTGCATAAATGAAAGCCCATTCAGTCCTCATTTCAACAAAAGAGTATAATGCATTAAAAAAAACAACTCGTCATGTCTTAGCATACACTGCTACTTTTAGAGAAAAAAAGTGCAATGAATGTATGTATAATTTCAAATCATAATGAGGAAGTATTAAAAGAGCTCTCACATTCCTACCATGGAAACAAATTTATGTAAAAGTAGCTGCTTGCCTCTGTAGAAATATCTATGCAGAACAGGCATTCAGCAAACTTCAGCCAGGAAGATCTCTCAGATCTTATATTTTGGGAAGGTAAGAAAAGTAACATTTTGATGACTGAAGCATACGTAGCACGTTCAGCAAACATTTATTCATTCTTGCTTTATAACACAGGTGTTATGAAATCAGTTCTCCTGAATCAGAATGCTTCTGTTCATTTTTTCTCAACATTTATTGATTTTTAGAGAGAGAGGAAAGGAGAGGGGGAGAGAGAGAGAAACATCCATGTGAGAGAGAAACATCGATCGGTTGCCTCCCGCATGCACCCCAACTGCGGATCAAACCCACAAACCGGGTACATGCCGTGACTGGAAATCGAACCGGCAACCTTTTGGTGCACGAGACAATGCCCAACCAACTGAGCCACACCAGCTTCTGTTTATTTTTAAGTCAGATACCAGATAAATACAAAGGGGACAAATTGCTGTGGATCACAGAATATTATTCTGCTAATTAATTAAGCAAAGGGAGCTCACAACAAACTGAATTCTTGGTTTATTTTAGTAAATTGGAGCCTGCTTTGGAGAATTAGTGATTGAAAATGTCAAGTAATGTCATTCGGAAGACATTTGCATTTTCTCTCTCTTTATGTCATTTGTTTTCCATATGCTCACTGTGTGCCATTAGATAGATTTCTACAGATAGAGGCTTCACCATCTTAAACACACCAGAACTCCACAGTGACTATGATGCTACGAGACAGGCTAATAGGATTTTACAGAATATAATTAAGTTTCCGGGGAAATGATTTGACCCTTACTATTTCAAACTCTATGGAATAAGTCATATTATAATGGCATTCTACTGAATTAAATCCTCAGTTTTATGAAAGCAACATGTTTATCTCAAACCAGGGTGGCAGAAGAAAAAGAAATGGGAAATAACAGCACTAAGCTTCCACAGCAGGACAGTAAATTGTATTCAACAATGTAATCTTTTAGAACCTACTATGCACAAGGCACTGTGAATATAAAACACATTTTCTGCACTAAATGAACTTACAGACTATCGGAAACTAGACATGAAACTCAGAAATGGGAAAGACTGACATCTGAGTGCCTGCTCAGTTCCAGGTACTGGATGCTTCCAATTTAACCCTCGCAGAAACCACAGGAGTTCCTATTCCCTTACCATTCTACCAGTGAGTCAGCCGGGGCTCAGAGAGTTTGAACTGGGTTTTGACTACAAGGTTGGGCTATTTCTACTCTATCATTAACTCTGACACAAGGCATAGTAAAAAGAATGCAAAGAAGAGATAAAAGTAACATGGCGAAACAAAAAAACCTCATTAATATGGAGACTCGAACCACATAAAAGACATGAGGGAAATTGAGTTGGGCCTCAAATCACAGGGAGAATTTTCAGAGCCTTAAATGGGAACCAATCCCAGCCGTCAGTTTAAACAGAGCCAAAGTCTATTCACTTTCCCTTTTTGTAGCATGGTAAACAAATTTCTTTTAACATACTTTTCATGACCATTATATTAACTGTTTTTTATGTTATATGATCATTTCTGTGCCTTCCCATTCCTTGGTCCATTCCCACTATGTTCAAATTAAAATAATACCAGGTCTAAAATTTTAAACAATTTAAGTAATTCTATCTATGAGTAATACAAACTATTTTAAAAACCAATCAATCTGTTCCCTAAGAAATATTAGCTCTACTTCTTAACTATTTCTTCCTCACATCTATGTCTGTGAACTTTTATACAACTCCAAATAGAAACTTTAGGGTTAACACATTACTAAGTCTTCAAAATAAAAAACATGTAAAACAGTAATTCCAGATAATCCATCCACGGCCAAAGAAGAGAGGAAATCCAGTAAGGAAACATCACCACAAAATGTTTAATTAAAGGTCAGAGTTTGCATAATGTGGAGATTTTAGCTTGAACGTTCATTATCAGGACTTATGGCCTCCATTTATTGATACTAAATAGCTGAGAATACTCCAACTATGAGGATTTCTTCTTTTAAGTAGACTTTTCCATTTACAAAAACAAGTAACTGTCAAGGAGAGGTCATAGAAAATCTGTAGTGTGGCTTTGTGTTAGATCCCTTTTAAACATGCTCCATCGCCCGGCCGGGCATAGCTCAGCGGTTGAGCATCTACCTGGGATCCAGGCGACCGGGGTTAGATTCCTGGTCAGGGCACATGCCCGGGTTGCGGGCTCAATCAATGACTCTCTCATCATTGATGTTTCTATCTCTCTCTTCCCCTCTCCTTTCCTCTCCCTGAAATCAATAAAAATATATTTTAAAAAATAAATAAATAAACATGCTCCATCAACATCTGCCCACATATACACTTGAAGATGCTAAAGAATAAAAGCAATAGTTTTACCTTGCAGATGAAGCTGAAGTACAAAAGATAAAAGTAAGACAATGGTTAAGGTGAGATTTAGATTTTACTTAAAGATATTTGATGCTGACTTAATCTGAAGATTTTTCAATCCAATAGGCAGCTACACTGGATCACTGAAAGAGACCTCCTGAGAGAGTCTACATTAATTCAGTCCATTGCCTGTCATTTCATTCTATTAACTATTTCTCAAAATAAATGATCTCTCAGTTTAAAATAAGTTGGGGGAAAAGCACAATTAACTGAAGAGATTTTAATATTCCTGGGTTGTACCTGTTCGAAGTTTTCAGTGGCAATTTAAAATAATTCAAGAACCCCAAAATAACTGTTGACTATTGAATTTATCCTGTGTTAATATTTTTAACTCATTACAGACCAAACTGAAACCTTAAAAAAAAAAAAAAAAAAGCCCAGTGAATAAATCTGAACCCAAAAAACAAACTTAAATATGTTCTAAAACTGTCAAAACTGCATATGCATATTAAAATGGTCTCTTCTCTGAGAAATAATGCAAATTTCATCCTATCTGGCTGCCTTATCAAATATCACAGGGCAGTTAAGAATGAGAGTATGCAAACAATATCTCTCAGCCCAAATTTTTCCATAAAAATAAGTGTTATAACCACCTGTTTTCTCATCAGGTTGCTTTCTGTTCAAGTTCCAATTTTCACGATGGCAATGTAGGAAGATCCTGAACTCACCTCCTCCCACAGACACACTGAATCTACAGCTCTATATGGAACAATCTCCTCTGGGAACAAAACTAAAAACTGGCGGAGATACTGCTTCACATCACGTAAGCGAGGGGGAAGCCACATCGAAGCAGGTAGAGAAGGTAGAGACACAATCTCGCCATAAACCCCACCTCCCATGGAGCAGCCCACGATCAGGAAGAAACTTAAAAAACAGAGCATCTCCTTGAGGAATGAAGGGGTCATACCCCACAGCAGGCACCCCAACTTTTGAGACCAGCACCTGCGAGATGAGCCTCCAAAACCCTGGCTTTGAAGACGAGTGGGGCTCTCATCCAGACTCGTGGGGCTGGCATCCAGCCTCGCGGGGCTCTCATCCAGACTTGTGGGGCTGTAGCAGACTAGGAACAGGCTCTTAAAGGGCTCCCACACAGACTCGCCCATCCTAGGGCCCAGTGCAGAAGCAGCCTTTTGAAATGCACCCCAACTTCATGTGAAAAAGACTCATTTGCTAATTTTAAAGCACTGTTCTACGGGGCAGAGGCCTGCGGGCTTACTCCCAGGACACAGAGCCAGGTGGGCACCATCTTTCTGCTCTCCCTCTGCTTCCTAAAGCTAGCAGGTGCCTTTTTTTTTGTCTTTTCTTCTTTTCTTTCTTTTCTTTTTATTCTATTTGTTAGCAGTTGCCACCTTTATACTCCCCTCTGCCTCGCTCCAGCCAGTGGGCACTATCTTTACCCTCTCCCTCTACCGTGCTCCAGAGGACCAGTATCTCTCAAAGAGGAGCTTCTACCATGCCTGGTGCCCTGGGTTTTACATCTGGTGACCCGGTTTTTGTGGCACCCACTGAAAGGGTGCCCCAAGATCTCCTAGCTCTAGAGAACAGGGAGGCTTATGTTCCTGGGTCCCATGGAACTGGAACTACCAGAAAGATAGTTCTTGCCCTGGCCAGGTGGCTCAGTTGGTTGGAGCATCATCCTGCGCACCAGGAGGTTATGGATTCAATTCCCAGTCAGGGCACATACCTAGGTTGTGGGTTCAAGCCCTAGGCAGGGTGTGTATAGGAGGCAACCAATCGATGTTTCTCTCTTTCTCTCTCTCCCTTCCTCTCTCTCTAAAGTAAACAAAAATACATATCCTCAGGTGAGGATTTAAAATAATGAATTCGTTAATTAATAAAGTTAAAAGAGAAATGTACTAAACCTAACTAAAATATGTTAAAAATACAGAATATGAATAGATGTAAATTGTGACAATAACAGCATAAAGTATGTATGGGGGGGGAGGGGAATAAAAATACCCTTAGAAGTTATACTAAAGAAAAAAAGGAATGAAAATATATCACCACAAAAAAAATCTATCTCATTTTATTTGCTCCCCTTAGATCCAAAAATATTTTTAGTATCTAGTATCTGTCATACATGCCTCCAATTCAGTATGTCTAAAACCTATAAATTGCTTCTCTATACGCAGGAAAACAGTGTC